CCAAGTCTTCGTTCTTGCTCCGTTTCTCCCTTCACGTGCTTCTCAATCTGTTTTTCTCCCTGTTTTTTCGTCATGCCTCTGTTTCTCTCTCTTTTCCCCTTTTACATGAGCTTCAAAACAGGGCCAAAAAGTGACTTTTACTCCCACGGCTGCAGCTGTAGATCCACGGCTATGGCTGTGGAGAGTCCTTCGGGGTGAAGAAACCTCCAAGGCTGCGGTTTCACAGCTATAGCTGTGACAACTCCTTTAATCTTAAGAAACCTCCAACGCTCAAGCGGTGAAGCCACAACTATGGCTGTGGGGCTCTTGAGGTTTTGCTGGGTCCTGGGTGCTTTTAGCTGTGATTCCACAGCTTTAGCTTCAACTCTTTGGAGCTTCAAAGTGCATTTCAGATTTCCACAGCTATAGCTACAGATCCACGATTATAGCTCCAACTTTCTGGACCCCTATATCCTTCCCAGACTTCCACAGCTCGAGCTCCAGATCCACAGCTATGGCTGTGGATCTCTGCCTTGCCAAAAATCCTGCAAAAAATGAGGAAATTCCCTAAGATTGCTACTACTCCTCTATTCTTATAGTATAACTTAATTCTTTAAATAAAGGGGTGAAATAACATATATATTATCTACAATTATCCAAAAAGAGTACCAAAAGTTGAGTGCGAAACAAGCCTAAAAGACACTCAACAACTACCCCAACTTAATCTCTTGTTGGTCCCCAACAAGATACCAATCAAAAACCAAAAAGGTTACTTCCTACCATAAGATTTCTTCTATATCAACAATAGGTAAACACTCAATCAATTCACCATCAAAAACCAATTTCTACTCACTGAGGTGCCCACAACAACAACCATGCCCAAACACAAAAATTGCAAGGCAAATCATAGCATGAACATTACAAACCAATATCTGAACATACTCTCTCAACAATGGCTCTCCAGGGTGAGTGTTTCTCTCAAGTCCATTCATCATTTCTATGAATATAAGCATTGATATCATCTCTTCAGTACTACTCTTTGAGAGAAAATTAAGGATCACAAGGACTTTTTTGGAAAGTTGAGGGTTGACTGAGGCTTGGTTAACAAAGGAATGTGGTTTTTCAGATTAACAGGGTTTAAACTCAAGAAAGTAAAATGAACATGAACCAAACACTCCACCTTGCTCACTCTAAATATTCAACTCCAACCAGATCTCTCAGCCTAAATTCTTCCTCTAATTACACACCCTCTTTCCTTAAGATTCTTTGCCTAGATTTCAAGAGGTCCCTCTCTTTTAAGACTCTTTGTACAGGTGCTTGCTTATTTTGCTCTTGATTTGATTTGATTTGATTTTGATTTTGATTTTTTTTATAGATCAAAATAATGACAGAATGAAAATAACAAGCACACTTAAATGTGAACAGAGAAAATGATGGAGGGGTGACTCTTCCCTTCAACTTGCATTGGCTTACTTTCTCCATTTTCTTTCCTCTTGGCAATTCTTACCAACTACCCCAACTTAATCCCCAATTCATTTTCATTTACTCTCAAGAGTTTGGTCAGGGTGATGAGTTGGTATTTGGGAAAGGTTTAAGGTGATTTGAAGGTTAAGGCTCAAACAGGTTTTAAAGGATGGATTCAATTATGGCTGGCTGTTTGGCTCTAGGCTTAAAAAGATTTCAGTTATTTACAAGGGAATGCCTTGATCCTGTCCAAAACTTTCTCACAAGAACAATCATTCAAGACTCAAACAATGCAAACACATATGCTATGATGATGGCTCTCAAAGTATAAGTGTATATGATAGATGCACTGTTTAGTCTCACTCATTCACCAGCTTGGGTAGATGTTCAACTATTGATCCTTCATGCCATGCTAATCAGATATCTCACAACTTCATGATCAAGCAAATTGGATGAGTACAACCTCAAAGCAAGTCTCAAAACAAACCATTTTAAGGTGAATCAAAAGATGTGTTTTCCGCTTTTTGTTGATCTAAAAGCCATCTCATTTACTACCTTTCAAAAATGATTTTCAATTTTTCCCAATTTTTTTTTTGGTGATTGTTAATTCACAAAAAGTATATAAACCACCAGATAGTCCAAACAATTAACAAAACAGAAACTAAAACAACCGGAATTTAAAATGACTGGAATTTAAAATGGCATAAAATTAAAGTGGAACTCCTCTTCCTCAGAACGAGGGTGACAGCAACCCTCCATCCTCTCTTTTTCATCATTGCCTGGTCATGCTCCTGCTCCCCACCACGAAGTTATTCACCTTGATCTCCACCCCCTCCAGAAAATATGGGACTGTCCCCAGGCCAGAAAATATTGTCTTAGAATTGTTCCGGTGTAGGCCATGGTTATAGGCTACCACTTTCTTTCATTTATGATCAACCGGAATTTCGTGGGTTGGTCGAGAACCACCACCTCTTGAGCATGCTATCTAAAAATTAAAACCAACCTTGCAACCAAGTTAATCCATAAGTTGATCATACAAACCAAGTTGAACACAATTCTTCATGGGGCATAATGAATGATTGATAAACAGTCTGACATGTGAAACGCTCAAGTTATTTCAAAGCCACCAATGAAATGCTATTAGCACTAAATCCTACTTGCTTCCACGATCATCCCACCACAATATTCTTTTGATTTAGAAAAATGAAATCAATTTTCACTTAGGCATTTTGTCAAGCATATAGCAAGCAAAAACATGTAATGGTCATGCATGTGCAAGGTGGATTATTAAACATCCCAAAATTCAAACTTTTCAATCCAAGAAGAGAATCAATTCCACATTATGTTTTCATGATGAACAAAGAACCCAGAAATGATGATGGTTCATGAAAGAAGAAGAGTTCATGAATATTCTTCATGCAATGACTTAAGAGAAAAGAAAATTGAAAAATTTACCTTGCAATGCCAATAAAAATTGATTCTTTTGTGTTTGTTGTGCACAGTAGATGAAGAAAAATGAAGGTTTGATGGGGATTATAAGGAAAAGGCATGAAACGTAGGGAGGTGGAGCGATTTGGGATGAGAGAAAAGGAGAGACCAAGATGTGGAGAGAGGGGCTCATTTTTAAAACTGACCCAAAACTATCTAAAGCTTCTCATTTAAATTAGAAAAATGGCTCCAGAGAATTGGCGCCTAGGCGCTGGAACTAGCGCTTGAGCGCTGGAAATTTCATATGCAATTGAGCTAAGACAGCAACATGGCGCCATGGCTGTGAGAGTTAGAGCTTGAGCGTTGGAGTTGGCGCTAAGGCCATGGGATTGGCGCTGGAGCGCTGGGAATCTGAACATATATAAAAAGAACTTGGCAGAGACTTAGCGCCAAGGCTGTGAGATTCGACACTTGAGCGCTGGGGATTCAACATGCAATTGTGCCAAGACCGAAACTTGGCGCTATGCCCATGAGTGTGGCGCTGTAGCTGTGGACTTTTTAAACTTGGAATTTAGCTCCAGAGAGTGAGCACTTTAGCTGCAAGATTGGCGCTGGGGCGTTGAGAACTAGTATAAAAAAAAAAAACTTGATAGCAAATTGGCGCTAAGGCCGTGAGTGGGGCGCTGCAGCTGTGGAATTTTTTCCACATGAGAGTCCCTGGCAGCAAGTTGGCGCTAAGGCCATGGACTTGGCGCTTCAGCGCTAGCAATCTTATTACAACAATTCGCATTCAAAATCCTATGCAAAGCCACTAGTGACACTCTAAATGAACAGTAAGGTGCCTAGTCAATGTAATTTACTTCCTAAGGTATGAAATCAAGGGAACCCTTTGAAAACTAGCCACATCAAATTCCCTATTGAGTTCTTGACAGTTACCTTTCTAACATTCATGTCAAACTGCATAATAAAGCACAGCAATAACAGTAGCTTGCTTATTGAAAAGTAGACACCAAACATTTCAGCCAAAGTCACCACTCATAGTAAACTTCAACAGCAACACCTCTTGAAGTCAAATATGAAATTCAAAATTTGCACAAAAACTCCACTACAAAAACAAAGCATCAAAATAATCACAAACCCAAAACTCAGAATGCTACACAACCACTCTAAAACATCAAATTAACTTTATATATCCTAACACACAAAACATAAAACAAGCTGTCAACATGAGTGGTAGTTTTAACACATGATATATCATTCAAAACACAAAACAACATGCATTATGAAACTAAACATAGCTATGAGCAAAAACTATTAACGAAACAATATTCAACACAAAATTCAGAATTTAAACTAGGAACAAAACAAGAACATGCTAATTTAATGTCTTTAGCTTGACAATCCTTGTTTGATCATGGCTCCTTCCAATGAGTGATGGTAGTGAGTCTTTCAACTTCACCACCCAGATAATGCTTGAGCCTTTGACCATTGACTAACCAAGTCCTTCCAGAGGTAGGATCTTTCAGCTCAATGTCTCCATGTGATTTTAGAGATTTAATTACAAATGGGCCTGACCACTTAGTTTTGAGTTTGCCCGGAAATAACTTCAATCTAGAGTTGAATAGTAACACTGATTGGCCGGGTTTGAAGCTCCTTTTTAAAATCTTCTTATCATGATATGCTTTGATTCTCTGCTTGCAGTGCTTAGAAGACTCATAAGCATTAAACCTCATTTTTTCAAGTTCAAGAAGCTGTAACTTCCTGTGTTTTCCAGCTACATTATCATCCAATTCCAGCTTCACTACTTGCTATTTTTCCTCCTTCTTCAATTCTTCTTTTGACTGAACATTGGCAAAAGAGTTTTCTCTTTTATTTAGTGCATCAATAACATCTTGAACCTCTTCATCTATGACCTTATCCAATTCTTCATTAGAAAGAAGCAAAGCCTTCTCTAGTGGCGATGAGCTCTTGAAATCATTTTGAGTTTCCAAGTACACATCATCTAATACATCAATTCTAAAGCAATCTTTGTGGCCTTTTGGAAACTTCGTTGTTTCAAATACATTGAAACTCACTTCCTCATCTCGGACCCTCACCTTCAGCTTTCCTTCATCCATGTCAATGATAACTCAAGCTGTCTTCATAAAGGGTCTGCCCAATATCAAAGGAACTTCTACATCCTCTTCCATATCCATGACTACGAAATCAACTAGAAACATGAACTTATCAACCTTCACTATCATATCTTCCACTATGCCATGTGGAATCTTGATGGATCTGTCTGCCAACTGTAAGGTCATTCTTGTGGGTCGTACCTCTACTTCTCCTATCTTCTTCAGCATTGATAAAGGCATCAAGTTAATACTAGCTCCAAGGTCCAAGAGTGCCTTACCCACTGATAGATTTCCAATAGACACGGGGAGAGTAAAACTACCCGGATCTCTGGATTTTTGAGGCAAAGATTTTTGTATGATGGCACTACACCCAGCCTCAAGCTCCACAGTTTCTTCTTTAAGAATTCTTTTCTTCTTAGTCAAGAGATCCTTCATGAACCGAGCATAAGTAGGCATTTGTTCCATGGCTTCAGTGAATGGAATATTTATCTGGAGCTTCTTGATGATGTCCAGAAACCTTGCAAATTGTCTTTTCTTCTCTTTCTTAGATGGGGCATGAGGGTAAGGTAAGTCTTTAATAGGAACAGTGGAAATGACTTCCTTGCCTTTTTTTTTATTTTTCTCCTTCTTTACTCCATTCTTCTCTTTTATTTTCTCACTATCTACACCCTCATTTTTATTGCTTTCTCCCTCATTCTTCTCAATCTCCTCCTCAACCGCCTTCAGTTTAATATTTTCTTCCTTATTATCAGCACCCTCATTGTCACCACTCACCCCAATATCACTACCAACTACCTTCCCACTTCTTGTTGTTATGGCTTTGCAATACTCCTTGGGGTTGGTCTTGGTGTTGGCTGAAAATGGGCCTTTAGACATGTCAGCTAATTGTTTAGCTAGCTGACCCACCTGCACCTCCAAATTCTTGATGGAAGCTTCAGTGTTTTTCTGGTTGTTCATAGATACCTGCATGAACTGGTTCAGAGTCTCCTCCAATTTACTGGTTCTTTCATGCATAGAGGGATAAGCAAGCTGATGTTGCTGTTGTTGTTGTGGGGGCCTATTGGATGGCCCAGCTTCATTCCTCCATCCATATCCCTTGTTGTTATTGTTTCTCCAACCTTGATTCCCCTGCATATAATTATTAGTATTATAATTATGGGAATTAAAATTACCTCCTTCCGGTTGGTTACCCACATAGTTGACCTCTTCTTCATTTGAAGTTTCAGAACAGTGACCATTGGGATGATCTCCCCCACAAAAATCACACTTTAAATAAGAATTTGATTGAGCTGGGGAGGAAGCAATGGCATGAAGCTGCTGTGGTATTTTGGCCATCTGCTTAGTCAGTGCTTCAATCTGTTGAGATAGCAGCTTGTTCTGAGCAAGGATTGCATCATTAGTACTGAGATCAAGAACTCCTCTTTTATGAGATTGATGTCTCCCATGCTCTGCTTGGTGATCAGAAGATGCCAAAGATTCTATAATTTGAGTAGCTTCTTTTGGGCTCACAGTCATCATGGTGCCACCAGCTGCTGCATCTAATAACATCTTCACCTCAGGCTTGATTCCATTAACAAAGAAATTGAGTTGAGCTATATCTTCAAACCCATGGTTAGGACATTTTCTGAGCAATGACTTAAATCTCTCCCAGGCTTCACAAAATGGTTCATCTGCACCTTGCCTGAAAGTAGTAATTTCTGACTTGGCCTTAATATACTTGGATGAAGGATAGAATCTATTCACAAACTTGTTTTCCACATCACCCCAGCTTGTCAAACTTTGATTTGGGTGAGATTGTAACCAAACTTTAGCTTTTCCTGTTAAAGAGAATGGAAACAACCTCAAATATACAGCTTCCTCATCACCTTCAGGAATTCCCATTGTTCCACATAACTCATAGAAATTTGAAAGGTGTGAGTATGGGTCCTCATGATCAAGGCCAGCAAATTGTTGTGAGCTAACCAAAGTAAGGAAGGCAGGCTTCATCTCCATGGCTCTAGAAGTATTTGGAGCTGCAATGCTAGAGAAATGCCTAGGACCATGTTGTTGTGCATAATCACCTAGGGTCCTTCTAGGATGCCTGGCTGGTCCATGTCCACCATTATGAGTGCCTGTTCCTTCTTCAGCCATTTCTGTTTCAAGGTGTGGTTGATTTGATGAAGTAGAAGAACTCAGAAGATCTTGCTGTTGTTTTTGGATTCTCTCTAACTGTCTAAGCCTTCTTGTTCTACTGTTGTTCCTCCTTGCCGTTCTTTCAATTTCAGGGTCAAAATGCAATTCTTCGGCTGGAGTTTTCCCTCGCATACACTTTTAAGAAGTCTGCACAGCAAGGTGAGTCCACAAAACACAACAAGACAAATATCTCTATATTATAAGTATTCACAAAATGAATTATTTACACAATTACAAAATCACAAGATTAAGAATTACTAAATAGCACCAAATCCCCGGCAACGGCGCCAGAAACTTGATGAAGTTTTTCGCAAACACACCACTTGGCAAGTGAACCAAGTTTCGAAGTAGTATTCAAATATCGTCCTCAGGGATTTGAGTGTTTAGTAATTCTTGCTCTAATGATTTAAATGAGAATGTTGTTATGATTGCAAATGAGTGAAGATAGGGTAGAACCACACAATAAACTAAAAGTAGTAAAGACAATAGTTAAGAAACAAGGATTGGTTTAGAAGCACTTGCTAACTCGTAGATCTTCTTAAAATAAATGCGATTCTAATTTCATTATTTCCACGTTCATTAAGTAATCCAACAAGATTCCTCAAGGTTGAATCCTAAAGTCATTAAGCTCAAAACATGATTCCTCTATGTTTTGAGTTTAACACTTCGCATTAAGAACAATGACTTGAACAATGTGACTAACCAAATCAAGTCTATTCCTAGAACAAGAAATGATTAGGTGCAAGATTCAGTTCGGGTTTTCGAAAACGTTTTCCAACTGGATTCAAAAGCCAAAAATCATACAACGGGTGATCAAGCCGATATAAGCATTAAGAGAAGAATCAAGCACAAATAATGAGATCAAAATGCATATATTTAAGAAGAAGAGGAGTTAGTAGTTACATCCAACCAATCCTTAATGAGTTTAGCCACACATGGCCATTACAAGATCTAAGAAGTAAAAGAAGAGATTACAAAGTAGAAGATGAGAACAAGGGGTTGGGCTTCGTTCCCAAATGACCCAGCTGCCCAAGTCTTCGTTCTTGCTCCGTTTCTCCCTTCACATGCTTCTCAATCTGTTTTTCTCCCTGTTTTTTTGTCATGCCTCTATTTCTCTCTATTTTCCCCTTTTATATGAGCTTCAAAATAGGGCCAAAAAGTGACTTTTACTCCCACGGCTGCAGTTGTAGATCCACGGCTATGGCTGTGGAGAGTCCTTCAGGGTGAAGAAACCTCCAAGGCTGCAGCTGTGGTTTCACAGCTATAGCTGTGACAATTCCTTCAATCTTAAGAAACCTCCAACGCTCAAGCGTTGAAGCCACAACTATGGTTGTGGGTCTCTGGAGTTTTTGCTGGGTCCTGGGTGTTTCCATGGCTTTAGCTGTGATTCCACAGCTTTAGCTTCAACTCTCTGGAGCTTCAAAGTGCATTTCAGATTTCCACAACTATAGTTGCAGATCCACAGCTATATAGCTCCAACTTTCTGGACCTCTATATCCTTCCCAGACTTCCACAGCTCGAGCTCCAGATCCACAGCTTCTGCCTTGCCAAAAATCCTGCAAAAAATGAGGAAATTCCCTAAGATTGCTACTACTCCTCTACTCTTATAGTATAACTTAATTCTTTAAATAAAGGGGTGAAATAACATATATATTATCTACAATTATCCAAAGAGAGTACCAAAAGTTGAGTGCGAAACAAGCCTAAAAGACACTCAACAAAATATCTCTTACTTAAAGAATACAAGTCATTATTATCACTTATGTTAATCAATTTTGGTTGAATATACCATAATATTACTCTATATATCTTTAATTTCTTAAAAACAAAAATATAAATAAAATAGACGATGCAATAAAAAGGATGAAAAAAATAATTTCAAAATAGTATTATAAAAATATATTATAAGAGTAAAATAACTTTTATTTATTAGAGAAAAACTTGTGGAGCTGCTCCATGAAAAAACAAAGTGTAAAAATCTGTCTCCACAAATCGCCGCCCTAAGCATGTGGGAGCAGAGAAGATTTTTGCTTCCCTCGATTACAAATCAACATCATTTACTTTATTTCCATTACTTTTCAAAGTCTACAAACACCTTCACTTTCGTAAAGTGCTTCTACCATAGGACGATATTAATGAATCTTTCATCTTGTCATAGATCATAGGTAATGTGTAATTTTATTGCTCAATTTTGACTTTTGGACTAAATCCATCCATTAACATCCTTATGTGCTCAATTAGTATAAGTGTTTACTTATTTTGAAATTTTAATTGGAATTTAAGTTATGTAAGTCAACTCTCATTTTACTTAGTTGTGTGTGTACGTTTATGAAGTTAAATAGTCATAAAGATCATCCACGCATGGAACTAAAAAGAAAAGTCTAAAGTTGAGGAAATGTTGATACAAGGATGCCAAAGACCAAATAAGGTATACTTAAGTAAACAAATTAATTTCCACGAATGTAAACAATTTAATTAAAAGCTTATTAAATAAGCCTTAGGTAAACGCTTATGAATAAGTTGACTTATATTACATCATCAATAAAGAAGATAGGTTCATCGGTGCAAAAATATATTCCCTCCATTTCTACATATTAAAAAATAAATAATGAGAGTGTTATTTTAATTTTAATTATAAGAAATATGAATCTATTTTTAAATATATTAATTAGTAATAATCTTTTATATCTTTAATTTATTATGATTTTATTAATAATTTTTCTATTCATTTTTTTTTTCATAAAAGTGAATGTATTTATTGAGTAACTAACACTATAAATTATATTCATTGGTTGAAATAAAAAAATATTCCGTAACTTTTAAATAATGTCATTAAATATAAATACAATCTATACTATTTAATTCTATGGATATTTTTGAATAAATTTCAAATTATGACATTATTTATTATAACTAACTAATTAATTTAACTATTTTCATTGGACTTAATAGAATAGGTATTTGTTTTTCATATTTTTCATATATAAGAATGAAGATAGTATTTTATAACATTTTTACTTTAGTTACGTAATAACTAATGTAAAAAGTAATGTGATAATATTTTTGTAATTTAAAGTAATCAATGTAAAAAAAAAATTATAGCAATTCCAAAATAATTGGTGCAAAAAAGTTCTTTCTACATTGGTTTTAATTAGAATGATGTAAAAAAAAAAGATTTTACATCAGTTCAAATTAGAACTGATGTAATGTGTCTTTTAAATTTTTCATCATGCTTCATTTTTGCATCCATGCTCTTGAAACCTTCACCTATGCTTCCTCATGAAAGCCTTTTTTCACCATTGTTGTCGTGATTTCAATATCAACAATGTCCTATTGTGACTTGAAATTAATGTCCCTTCTTGGTGAATTTAACATTGTCATTGACAATATTATCGATGCAAACCTTCATTAAGGATTTTACCATAGAGTAAGACGATAGTGGATTCTCTCTTGAATCCACTCAAAGTCCCTTTGCTTAAGGGTTTTGGAGCAATGATAGAATATGACGATGACATAAACATGAAGGAGAGACTGGTGTAATATTGTACATTCTTACTAGTTGTTATTGATTTATTAATTATTGTGTTGTGGTGGTTTAGGTAGTCTTAAGGGTTTCTCTAGCTAGAGATCCAGTTTGATCATGAAGAAAAGGTATACAAGGTTTCTTTTGAGAATTGAACTTCATAAGTTCATTTCTTAGAGAACCTTAGAGAGATAGTAGTGAGAAGAGCTTTGGATTTCTAAAATCTTGTTCCTCTTTCTTAGCCTCCCAAGAGTTGTAAAAGCTCTTAATTGAGTGGCTAGCTGGTGATTTAAGGCCATTGGAGCTCAGAATCAGTCTTGTATTGGTCGTCGTGTGGAGTTCTCAAAGCTCATTCATCTTCTTCCTTTTTTCTCTTGGATTTGGAGACTTAAGGGTAAGGGAAGCTAGACTTGTTATTTTGGGGAATTGGTGGAAGAAAAATGTTGTTTGATTCGTTGAAATGGTGATTGGATGGTTGAATCTTGAAGGGAAATGAGTGTGCGTTGAGTTGGGTGTTATTAATGCATGTGGATGTGAATTGGTGATTTTGGTTAAGTCATTGTTGCATGTTGTTTTTACGGATAGAAATGAGTTGTGTTTCTTCTACTACTGCATGTGGGATTGTTTGAGTTTCAGGTGTGGAGAGCCAAATTCGTGAATTTGCTAAGTGTTTAATTCACATCACGTAAGACACACCTTCATGACATCAAGAATGACTCATGTTATAGATTCTTTGCCTTACTTACATCAGGCACAAGATCAGTGGCATTAAGCATGGTTTGAATGACTTCAGGCGTAAGGAGAGTGAAACGTCTCTGCCTTGGTCATGATAAGCCTAAGGTTGAGTGGTTCCTAGCATAGTCAGGCCAAAGCACTCTCTACTTAAACAACGTCGAGCGCTAGTGTGGTGACGGGTGTGAGTCAAGTAAATACTTTTTGCCTAAAATGAGGTCGAACATAGGTTTTGGCCACGCCAGATGTGGGAAGTTTGGCATGGAGTGTGGGCAAGTTAGAGACCCTTTGCCTCATTTCACGCAAAGTGCAAGAAGAGTGATGCTAGACATAAACTATCTTATAAAGATGTGTTGTTTGTGTTGCTAAAAGTTGAATATGTATAAGTTTGTGAAATCTATGACATGTTATATGATGATTAAGTTTTGTTTTACATCATATGTTGATACATGAGGTTGAGTCTTTATACCTTGGTGTACCTTAATGTATAAAGTTGATTAAATGGTTGAAAGTTGAGTTGAGTTGTATGTTGTTCAATTAGGTAGCTATGTTGAGAATGCATTGGCATTAAAGTTGTACTATGTTGATCGACTTAAGGCTAGAGGAGAAGTTATTTTTAAATTTGCATATCTCATTCTGAGGATATTGTGTTATGGTGCGCCGAGAGTCTTGTTTGTTGAAAACCCTTCTTGGAAAGTTGACCTTAGAAGTGGATAGTTGAATCTCCTCTAAGACCTTTTTGTTAATACAACATATGGGTCAAGTCAAGGTATACCAACTATACGCAACCATTGTTGATCTGTATATGGGCAAGGTCAAGACATACAAATATATAGCCACCAAATTAGAGTAAAGTACAAGGTCGATGGCCAAAATC